TGCCTAACTCTCGTATAGCCAATCTCCTACTAACGAATGATGAAGCTCTAACAACCTAATAAGATTCTATCTATCTCAGGTTGCAGCAGAAATCAAGAAAAGCTGATCAGACTTCAATCAATTCAATAAGGGTTAATACCCTAGTTTGGCCCGAAGTTTAGCGTTAGTGACAGTTCTGGCCTCATTTTTCAAATAAGACATATATGGCCCACTTTTGAAATTATTTGACAAATTTGGCCCGACATTTGGGTTGACCGTGAAAATTGACGGTCAACAAATTTTTCCGTTAGTGACTCAACATCTTATATTGAAGTGGCATCCACCTCATTTCTATTATTAATTAAAAACAAAAAAATAATTTTTTTTTATCAAAAACAAAAGAAAAACAAAAAAATAATATTATTTCTCCTCTAACCCTTCCTCCCCTAAATCCACCTTCCAGCTTCTCTTTTCTCAGATCGACCCTCGCCTCTCCAAATCCCAATTCCTCTCCTATGCTTTTTCTTCCTCATCCTCATTCATAAATTGATGGGCAATGCCAGTGGTATAAATAAATCCCCAATTGAAGTATGCAAAACGAACAAACACCAAACCAGAACCAGTGGGATCTAAGGGGGAAGGAAGCAGCAGAGTCGAGCAAAGAAGCGGCATTGGGGAGCCCCAAATCACTGCTCCTATCCACCGCTTCTTCTTCATTTTCGATGGCGAGCTGCTGCTCCTCCCGGAGAGACAAGGCGTCACCAGGGTCATGTCGATTACACAGGAGTATTCGCGGATCTACAACTACGGCGTGACTCAGGACGATTGGCCGGCGCTTCTGAATCTAGGGTTGATCGGCGATTTGAATGGGGTTTTGGGGCAGACGCACGTGAGCCCGGTGAGCGTCAGCGCCGAGATGGCGGTGATGGGCGGTGATGTATGCTCCGCCATGATAGTCAATCCTTCTCTCCCGCATCAACCACAGTTGCACTAGTCTCTTCCTCCTCCAATCACCGAGTCGCATCACCTGCCCAACCTTCCCGACCAGCTAGAGAACAATCCATCTCTGCTCCTCTCTTCCCGGAGCCGATTCCTATGGGATTTGATTTTGGAACTGAATCTGACTAGAGAGCGGCGGCGGCGGAGGTGGAGTAAGGATAGAGAGAGTTGTTTTAGGGGTTTTTAGTTTCACATTTTTTTAGTTTTAGTTTTTTATATTTTTTTCAAGTCAAATAAATGACGTGGCAGCCACATTGTAGCCACCTTAGCATAGGATGTTGAGTCACTAACGGAAAAAAATCATTGACCGTCAATTTTAACGGTCAACCCAAACGTCGGGCCAAATTTGTCAAATAATTTCAAAAGTGGGCCATAAATGTCTTATTTGGAAAATAGGGTCAGAACTGTCACTAACGCTAAACTTCGGGCCAAACTAGGGTATTAACCTATTCAATAAAACATGCATCATTCGATCAAAACCAAACAGTATAATCATCCTAAGTCATTACAATAAAATCCCTAACACATGGAACTAGGGTTCTTCATACCCAAGTGAGAGAAGGGTTCTACTCCATAGAGAGAGAGAGAGAGGAAAACATAATACAAAGCAGTCATACTCATAACAATGGGAAGAATCTGCTCTAGGGTGATGATTTCCACTCCTATGACGATCTCCAAGCTTGATTTGATGAAACCAAGCTCCAAGATTGCTTCTAGGATGTGTTCTTCGTACTTTCTCTCTCTAGGGCTCTGTTTTTGCTCTGAAAAATCGATCCTCTCACTTGTGGCTCGAAATTGGGTAAAAACCTGAAAATCCCGATCACACGGGCAAGCAACACGGCCGTATGGCATACCCAGTTTCCCGTGTGAGACACAAAACGCCGCGTTTCCAATAATTGCACTTCAGGCTACCTACACGGCCAAGGACACACGGCCGTGTGGCTCACCCAGTCTGCCCGTGTGAAGCCTCGCATAATCCCACACGGCCACATTTCTCCTTCACATGGCCGTGTGGGTTTTATTCCTGCCCGTGTGAAGGCTCGCACAATCCCACACGGCCACATTGGTTACTTGCACGATCGTGTGGGTTTTGTGTGTGCCCGTGTGGCTTCCTCAGCGACTTGCCTCACGTCCGATCTTCGTCCAATCGACCCCAAACTCGCTCCCAAACCTTCATTCATGTACTAGGACCTGAAATATCACAAACAAGCACAACCTAGCGTGAAATCGGCCTAAAACACGAGAATCAACACCTCAAACGGCTCCAGAATAGGGGTAAAAACATGTGCAATTAACGGTTTATCAAACTCCCCCATACTTAACCGTTTGCTTGTCCCCAAGCAAACCAAGTTAGACACAAGGTAAGCTTACATATTTCAACTATACAAACATTGGGGACAAATCATATAGGCACAAAAACACGTGAATCATACTGGCTTTCAAATATCAACACATGAACAACTTCAATAGCAACCTGGACAACCACCACAGAAGACATTCGAGTGCAGCAAAATCGAGTAAAGGAGGAGTCTCCCTTCTGTTCATCAACCAACCTAGACTTGACTCAACCACTTACTCAGGCAGTCAACTCATGCATAAACTCAAGACATCAGAATCAAGATCGAGCCATCTAGGTCCTCACCGGGTAAAGAGTGTAAAGAACAAGGAAATGAATCACTCACTCTCGACCAGTGGGGTCAGGACAATTTGATGCGAAAAATGCGTATACTTATTCTCTCAATTCCTAACATCTCTTCACCATGACGGTAGCCTCTAAATGTTAGAGTTCACATAAATGGTTTTCATCACTAACTAATCCGGAGGTCTTAGACACAGGTTCAAGTGACTGGCTAGGGTCTTGGACATGGGGAAAAGGCCTTTTAGGTGGTGGAAGTATTCATGGAACAAGGTTCCACATTTCCAAACCCAACAAACTCACAGTCAATCAAACCAGTACTTTCTTTCTGCTATTCTGCATTACCCAAATTCTTTAGAGCATAAGAACGAAGGAGGTCACATAAATGCTAGTATTTCTAAGCTAGACTGATAAGAAACACCACTTAATGGGAACTATTCAGATTTTTGGTGGTGGCTCTCTTTTGCTTTCATTTTTTCTTTGTTTTTCTTTCATTTTTTCCATTTCTTAAGAGAACCACCACCTCTGCACATTTTCAAACACCTGCCCAACTTTTTAAGAACTACCTCCAACTCTCACATTACATTCAGCAGAAACAGCAGAGAACATGTAAAAATCACTATGTGGAACCTTCTAAAAGATGCAAAAGGGTGATTTTTCATTGCAGACCGAAAGAAAGGATAACACACGGCTCAAAAGGGGCTGACTAGGGGGTATGACACACCGGACAGTCAATTTGGTCGTGGGCTAATCCTATGCCTCCATCATCTTAGCTAATGACAACGTGAATGCTACACATCATGGAAGAGGGAACTATCGCACAAGAAAGAAACGAGCAGGCTCAAATCTCACATGGCTACCTATATGCTCTATCTCTCATTCTGATCCCCTGAACTAGATGCATAAACGACTGTCAAGAACAAGTAATCAATCCAAGTCACAGTTGGTAAGCAAACAGTTGAAAAACCAAACCCCTATACAATTCTACTGCACATCTCAAACATCATAATAGGTTGTCCTAGTCACCATCCAGTTGTCATGCATCAATCCGAAAACCATTCAATTCACCAATCAAAACATAGTGCCAATATGATCAAACAGCCGTACTTGGAGCCCTCAAATCTCGAGATTTGGACAGCGGACTAGGCTCCAAGCACATGTATATAAATTCCAACCGATACAAAGCACCCCCCCCCCACACTTAAGCACGACATTGCCCTCAATGGAGCTGAGGGAGAAATAAGGGGAACTATGTTACCGGATTGAAATACTGCAGAAGACTGGAAGTGGACCAGTCAGCGGGGGACATATGGAACGAAGAGGCCTTGCTGCACTAAGGGAACATCAAGAACACACTGGCACACCGTGCGCTAGGGATCAGAGTTGGCCCAGATGGCCACAAACTAACAATCCACAAAAGAAAACCAAAAGTACGAAAACAAACGACATACTCAATTCAAGCTCCTCAAACACATGGAGCAAACATAAAAAGGTCTAAAACAAAAACACACACTGAGGGGCGACAAGTACAGCCTACTCGTCGCCAAGGTTGTCCATATCGATGTCATTCATGAATGCATCATCATTATCAGATGGTGGAGGTGGAAGTGGAGAGTCCTCCCTGGGAGTCCTCCAGACGGGCTGCGTGCCTGGTAGCAGCTGGAGCAGGTGCTGCTGGACCTCCTGCATGCGCCGAGAACGGGCCTGCTCTCTCTCTATGTGAGCCAAGGTCACCCCCTGTTGGGTCTCCATCCGATCAAGGCGCTCATCATACGCAGCCAACCGGGTCTGGTACTCGGCATGGGGAGCCGAATACTGTTGCTGAAACTGGAGCTGATGGTCGTAGAGCTGCTGATTCTAGAGACGCAGCTGCTCGAACTGTTGAGTGAAGTAGTCCCGGCCGGGGAAAGTGGAGCTGCCACCCACGTACTTGAAGGTGGTGGGGCGGGCGGCAGCAGTATCATCCACATCCTCGGGATGGATGATAACGATATAATTACATGATTTTTTACCCCTATTTCTTATCCATTTGCGGAGCATGGTTGTGTGTTTTGGCCTATTTTACGCCGGGTTGTGCTACTTTGTCCTATTTCAGGTCCCAGGCGTCAAAGGGAAGGCCAAGCACGAGTTTCGGATCGTTTGGAAGTCGTTTGGACGAGCCAGGGCCAAAACACGGGCAGGCCTGAGGAAAGCACGACCGTGTTTTAGGCTGAGCACGACCGTGTTTTCAAGCTGCCCGTGGCCGTGCTTTTAAGGCTGAGGCAAAACACGGGCGGGCTGAGGCAAAACACGGCCGTGCCCTCGACCGTGTTTTGGCCAATGATGCCCTTTTAGGCAGATTTCAGCCAAATTGAGAGGGAAAAATAAAAAACTAACAATCTACGAGTTTGGTCAAAAAAATTAAGTCCTTTTATTTTTGTTCTTATGAATGTTAATAACGGGGAACCATGCAGCTCAAAAAGCATAACGCGGGAAGGGAAAGTTCTAAACCTTGCAGCTCAAATGCCCCAAGGAACCCAATTACATATATCCATCTCAATCCACAATCATAATGTAACTGCAAATGAGAAACTAAAGGAAGACAAAAATCCGAGAAGATAGCAGAACTGGTGGCAAGAATTCAACCTCTAAAACATAATCAACATTCACAAATCTGTAGAGAATGCTCTGTGGCAAGAGGCTTCTCGTGTTTCTGTTCTTACTAAAAGAAGAATCATACCCAAATTACTACTACATGGGTACCGTGCGGGCCTTGTACATGCAAATGTACGCCATATGCCAATCACCTGAACCAAGAAACAAACAGCATCCGGTTCGATTAGACATGTTTACCGAGTAATCAAGCTGTGGATTGAGGGAATCAAAGGATGAGAACTTGATGAAGTACCTCCTCCAGAGAGCTTCACTATATCTTCTTCTCTCTGTGGTATGGGACTATCATCATCGAACTCGATCCATTTTCCTGAAGGGGATAACCCAGAGACCTCATAGATGAGAGAGCACAGAACTAACATGTCGTGTAAGAGTAGGACAATGAAATAGGGCGACAAGTTAAAGTTACCGTTTTCCTGCTTGACCCAGGCGACATAGTGGCCCGAGTCGGCACTTCTTCCCTTGTGGGTGAGGACCGAAACCAACTCATACACTCCGGTAAGCTGTGCTTCTTTGTCTGATGGGGCACCTGGAGCACGTTCAAATTCAGGCTTAAATCAATCACAAGTTAAGGATTGTCCCAATAAGATGGTCATTTTACCACATAGTCACTAACTTTGGGGGTTCACTAAAATACTGGTCATTAAGCTTTGCCTTTTAACAAACATGTCACTGAATATGTGATATAACTAACATAAAAGTCCTTCACCTAATCCCAATCACTCAGATATGTGGTTTGAATTGTCAAGTGGATTTAGATTGTGTAACATGTTTGGTTGGATCAAGTAATGTTAATGATCTGGAAAACCTTACTAAGATGGACAAAATGACTGATTACATTTGTTCAACAGTCAAGTTTAGTGACAGTTTATGTTATTGACGCAAATATTAAAACAGATTAGTAATGGCAGGAAAGTTTGAGAAGGCCTTTACCGTCACTCAAGGTAGCAGCTTTTGATGATTCACCACTTGCAGTGGATGATCCCTGCACACAGGAGGGGAAGGTAAGAAACCATGTCCTCAGGTAGCATAAAAGCTGTTTAGTTGTACATGCAAAAGAAAATTTGTTCACCTCTGCATCAGTCATCTTGACATCAGTGTCCTTTGAATCAGCCTTCTCCTTTCCCTTTAAACCGAGCTTTTTGCCTTCTTCATCTCTCAACAACTGGAGGGTTGTAATGTAGTAAACAGATTAAAAATTACAGCACGCAGACCACCAAACTCTGGAAAACAAGAGCAAGAACAAAGGTACCTTGCGTGGTGCTTCTAGTTGCTTGCGAAGATCTTCTGAACACAAGTCATAGACATCCAGCTCCAACGGATAATCCACTTTCTGAAACACAAATATAAGTGCAAGAATATGTTATTATGAAAATAGGCTTAAATTTTCAACTTTTAAAAGAGGGCGTGCATTGATGTCCATCTTGCAAATGGACCATTTTATGTCATCATAAAGTTATCAACTGCTTGTTCTTCAACATACATAACCAACAAGCTTAAGTGAGGACCGTCATCACAGGGGAGAATTAGGAAATTACCCTCAAAATCTTTGCCTTCTGATTTGACTCCCTCTTCCAGAAAAAGCGAACAAACTGGACAGTTAAGTACCTTGAGAGCGCAAAGATGAGAGAAATCTTATTGAACAAAAACCAAGCAAACAAAGACAAGGCAGAAAGTAGAAAGTATAACACCCATCTAAACAGGCTGTTTGAATGTGTTATCCCTCAAAGGAAACAACAAAATGTTATCAACTGCATATTGATAAGTAACATAATGTCATCTTTCAATATCATCAGATCATGCTAATCTCAAAGGGAACTACATAATGATAATAGCAAGCACAGGTAACCAGCAGTAATGAACTACAGAGAAAACAAGAAGAGAGAAACTGATGACACAAAGCAAATGGTTACCTTGGTAACGCATTGATACGGGATTCTTTCAAGAAAATTGCACTACGTCCCAAGGCAGGAGACGCCTTCTCCAATTCCGATTTCAAACCCTACATATCCAAGTTATTGATCTCACTATTACAAAATAGAATAAGCTGGTACACTGAGTACTGTACAAACAAAGACTATCTAGATGATGAAGTACTTGGCTAACCATTCGACATGATCAAAATAAAGATAAAATAGAATAGGGATACATGAATGTGTAATCTTTTAAGTTTTCGGAAGGTGTTCCAGCACAACAATCTGGGACTATCTCCGTACTTAATTTTTACTGACAAGCGAATGGCTATCTGGACTAGCTTTATAAGGTATCCTTCTTTTCATGTCTGAATACCAGATTTCAAACCGACTACCTCAGATATTAGAAGTTCGATGATGAAGCTGCCAGTGGAACAAACTAACATTTGAACATATCATTACAAGCAAAACAAATAATCATTCAATCAGCAATTACTGCACACAGAGAGGAAGGAGAGAGGGTGGTATGGAGTTCCATTAAAGGGGTGAAAACTCACATGTTTCAGTCCTTCGTGCATATGGTTCACCTCATGTGATATGTGGCATTTTAGTGAATAGACAGATTCTGCCTCTGAACTTTCTTCACCACTTTCCTGGCAGTGAACCCTACCAACAGTAGCACAACCAGATGAACCAAAATAATTTGGCAGCTGCTAAACTAGGAGAATAATGATACAACGTTATACAAGATCATAAACCAAAACCTACCTGCTTAGAAGCTCAATGCCAAACACATCCTTCAGCGCATCAGCATTTTCGCTGCAGAAACGTTAAAGAGAAAACTTTCATTTCGTTCACACCAAGAAAATAAGTTTTGTAGTAAAAGTTGGACATTACAGCACCAAACCAGCTTAACTGGTACGTGTGACTCAAGAAAGGTATGCAAAACAGTTATAATTCTTTTACTTTTATAATTCAAAAAGAGAAGAAGTCAAAAACATCAAATTACAAAGCTGACTGGCATCAATCTATCTCATTTAAACCAAAAATATACCTTGTACCACTGCTTGATCCCCGGAGAGACTGTGAAAGAGTGTACAGAAGTTGTGTCCAACATTCTTCAGCATCCTGTTTAGTTTATTAAGCAGCACCTACTCAAAATTAACACTGCAACTTAATCAATTGGACTAATGCAATCAACTAGTAGATAATAGAAAACCTGTTGCATGAAATAGCCATTGTGCATTTGGCCAAATTGTGGATACTTTTTGCGAAGTACCTGCAAAAGAAAAGGATAGTTAACGGCATGTATCAGATTATATATTACAGCATGACAGTAAATGATGGCACCATTAATAAACATGCCAAGAAACAACTCCTCTAGTCATGCTGACATAGTCAAAGAGGAAACAAGTTCAAGAAAATTGCATAATTGCAGCAGGCTTCACTTTCTTGTCAAGTTCAGAAAACCATAACCACCAAATGGATATACAAAGAGCCATTTTCACCAATCATATCCATATTTAAAAGTACAAGAGACCAACCATCCAAAATTGCATAGGTGCAACAGCCTTCACACTCTTGTCAAGTTCATTAAATAATTCCCTAGTTGCAGCGGTCAGCATATGAGATGTTTGGTCCACCTCATTTCTTCTTTCAGATGGATATCTAACAAGAATAGACACAAGAGCACAAATCATCAGCAATCGACAAACTGCAAAAATATAACAGAACAAAACTGCAGGACCTTGTATAATAAGCTACTTACTTGAGTAAAGCAGACTTCAATTCTGGAACCGAATGCAAGCATTGTACAGTCGAATTCATGTAGCAGGTATTCCCTAGGTTAAGCAAACCAGCAGTATGACCCTGCGCACATAAATTAGTAACCAATGAAATAAGAAAGACCCTGAAGCGAAGCTACTTTTACAGTAACATACGAGACATGGAAGCCAGAAAAGAAGAACTATCGAAAATATATTATCTATGCCCATAACAAGTCACCAACAGTGTCTCATACTAGTTCTAACTGGTGTTTCAAGGAAATAATTCAGCATCCAATGTAACTGATAATTTCAGGTTTCTCATCCTCCATATGATGAGGAAAACTATATCCACTGTTCAGATTAACCAGTGCACTTGCATTTCAATCATAACTGTACAATATAACTGGATTTTAGAGTTAAGAGTGAATACCACAGCAGCAACTTGTTCTTCTTCTGGAAGATCTTCTACGAAAACAGGGCCCTTTTCGGGGGCCTTCACAATCTCATCCGCAGTTCCCATCATCATCAGCCTTTGACCCTATTGCATTGCACACAAAGAACAATCAACATTCAAAGCCACCAGAAAAGTAAACAGATGCAAGCGAAAAAAAAACGATGAAAAAAGAATTAAACAAGGGATATAGTTACAGTCAAAACTTCCTCATTACCTGCTTTACTCCAATAGCTGTCCAATCTGCATCATCCTGGATTATCAAATAAACCATTTGTCATTAATAGATTGATACAGACCATGTTAATACCGAACTAGAATTTCCAGGGCAAAGGAGAACAACAGCTTAGCTAATGTACCCGAATAAATCAAATCTTACCTTCAACAAACCACCCTTTACCATAATCTTCTGCCTCTCAGGGGGTACGCCAGTCAAATCAAACAACTGGCACTTGAAGACATACGGAGGTTGTGTTGTATCAACTTCAACCTTTTCCAACACTTTCTTTTGCCATTTAACGCTCACTGCAAACAGCAATAATACTAATTAAAAATAAACTCACAAGAAAAATTGAAAGCTCAACAGCTACAACTGATTCAAACTCCAAACATCTGCTGTGTGTTTGATACATTGTCTATGTTTAAATCAACAAGACTAACTTGTTCAGATGCTCTACAGTTCATCATCCAGGTACAGAACAAGAACCAGAAAACTTGAAGCTGATTAAAAAACACTCAAGGGCTAGCATCCTAACTAACCTACGTGGCTATCTATTAGAGCATCTAAAGAACGACTGTATCCTTCCCAAGAAGTTGTACCACTTAAACCTCCCATTACAACCAGGTTCCTAGCTGCAAGGAGGTCATAAAATACCCAAAGCTTCCAAAAAAGTTTCTGACTGTGCATTCAATACAACCATTAAACACTTGCAACACAAAACCCAGAAAACAAACTCACCCTGCCAGCAGAAGGAACGGAAAAGGACACCAGAAAACAAATCCTCTAGCACAGAGCTAGTACCCAATTCATCGTATTTATAGACAACAGCCGGAAGATTCGAACTATAGCTTGCCGCATTAACCAATGATCCAAACGTTTGAGACGGGATAAAGGACCCCAAAATTTCTTAATCAAAATCGACTGCAATCTGCGACTTGTTCTGCTGGGAAGCGTACCTGTAAGCATGGTTGCTGGGCTTCGAGGAATCCGGAAGAACGAAAGAGAGTTAGGGAAGCTCTTGCTTGGAGGACGGGAAATATCAGAATGTTGTTGAGCTCTCTCGAAAGGTTTTCCTTTCCTTCCTTTCTCCCCAATTCGATTTTGGGGTTTTATAGTGAGAGAACCATCTCTGCATTTGCGGGTCGGTTCGGGTGGCTTTGTTTGCGGGTCGGTTCAGCAAAATTCAAAATTGGTCTCACCAAAATATCAATTTAGTCCTCCTTATTTCCCTTTCATACGGGCTAATCCGCCGAACTGCCAGACCTCGACGAAACCAGCAAATTAAATTAAAAATTGAAATAAAATTAAAGAGAAGAAGAAGAGAGAGATGAACAGCGCACTCTGTGTTCCTTCGCCTCCTCCGCATCAAAAATTATTTCCCCAAATTGCAATTTGATCAAATCTAACTGTCTCGAAAGAACCCCTACCGCCATGTTCGCTGGCTCCTCAAAGCTCGGCGGCGGCGGCCGCGGCGGCAGCTCCGGCAGGGGAGGAGGTCCCGGCGCCCAGCGCCACCCTTCCTCCTCTTTTTCGCACCCTCCTTCCGCACTCCACCGGCCGCCCACCGCTTCCCGCCTCTCTCTCGGCGGCAATCCTCGCAACAACCGCTCCGGCGGTTCGAGCAATAGTAAGAATGCCACTTCTGGCCCTGGTGGCGTTGAAGAGAGTTTCTCTCTTGTCCCGGGGAATTCGCCTCCGGCGTTTGCTATGATTATCAAGTTGGCACCTGACTTGGTGGATGAGATCAGGACGTTGGAAGCTCAAGGTGACAGCGCCAGGATTAAGTTCGATTCCATGGCGAATAATCCTAATGGGAATGTGAGTGGGTTTTTTCCCCTGGCTATGCAATCTTTCTCTTACTGCTCTTTCTTTAATGCTGCTCGCGTCTTGAATTAGAGTTCAACGTAGCTTGGGTTAGTTCTTGGTTTCCGGAGACTGCTCTGGTACTTCTCTCGCCAGGTCTTATGCACATCTTTGATAGCACGAGCTAATCAGGATTACGAAATCTTCGTGTAGTAGTTTGTTGCCAACCTTACAAATTAGCTAGTGCGGTGTTATGCTCGTCTTACTCTAGTACCTCAGGATGAACAACTTATGTAGTTGCCACAGAAACTTGCAGTTTGCTCTTAAGCTGCCTTGGAATAAGGCACACATCCAGAATATTTCCCTTCAGCATTAGGAAGTATGTGGTGTAGCTCAATGGGCTGTCAACTTTGCCTGCCATTTTATAAAGGTTTCTTTTCACCTTTATCATAAGAGAGGAAGAAGAGGACGAGGAAAATGGCTAAATAAAATCATATCCTATCTGAAGCTCCCACAGATTCAAAACGTTTCTGATCTGAAGTGAAGGGAGTCCCCCGTGGCAAGTCTTTTCCAGCTGTGGTGCCCAAAAGGTTGATACTGGCCACAAAAGGCTGTCAAAGACTGATCTTTATTCAACTACGACTGATCTTCCCTCTATGCCATTTTTGCCTTCTCCAATTGATTCTATTCCTGAAAAAATGCCAAGAGCTCCTAGGCAAGGAGGAACTTTTGCGTCAAGTTCACTTAAAACAAGAACTCTTCTCCACTTTATACAAGATATATTTTCGATTTTGTTCTAAAAGCTCTAGCCGTGCATGTTTGCGTGGCCTTGTTCCTCTAGCAACTTCAATCTAAATTGGCTATGTGATTTCAGGTTATCAAAGTGGGTAACAAGGAGTTTAGATTTGTATGGTCAAGGGAATCTGGGGACCTTATTGACATATATGAACAACGTCAAAGTGGAGAAGATGGAAATGGTTTACTTGTTGAATCAGGATCTGTCTGGCGGAAGGTAAATGTCCAACGTGTCTTGGACGAATCGACGCAGAACAATGTTAAAATGCGGTCCGAGGAAGCTGAACGCAAGCATAAATCACGCAAGTAAGTTAAATTATGTCTTCCTGGATCTTAGTTATAAGTTTATTGATCATACTGTTTATGACAATAGTTTAGCAGTTTGTTCGTCATTTTGTTCCGTATTTTTATTTGCTTTAATTTGGGTGCATCTACGTTTTGTAACTTCAAGCAACCTGGTTCTTAGACTAATGTCGATGAGATTCTTATGACTCGGGTGTTCTGTATTTTACTTCTTCTTCCCTGGAATGTTTTGCTCATTACATGTGTCCCAATGGTACGCTCGTGTTTATTGTTCCAATAATATTGGTTAGAGGGTTTTATTAGTACTACTGTCAAGGTCATGCCTGTTTATTATTTACTAGAGATTGTGCAGCATGAAGCAAATAAGTTTTGTGTTATTGCTTTCTGGGGATGTTTCCTTGTACGTTGATTCTTCTCTGAGACTGCTAATTCTTAGACATCTTATCTCACAATAATTGATTAAAATACCCCCATCTGTATAACCATGAAACTGCATCCTATAGACAAGTTTAAATTACATTTTTTGCTCATGTCTTTTCAAATATAAGCCTCATTTTCTTTAAATTGTTCTTATAAACTTTGTGCATATCATGACAGGGCCATTGTGCTAGATCCCTCAAACCCATCATTGAAGAATCCCATAAAGCAATTAGCAGCTGCTGAGGGTATGGTATTTATCTTTAATTCACTTATGGAACATTTCAGGTGGAAAGACGAATTAGATTGTACTCAAATCTCTGTTATTTGGCTGCTATATTCTCCTCTGGTTTGTAGGTCAAGGTAAGTTATTTTTTTCCTGACGTAACTTGTCTCTTTTCTTCTCAGTTAATCCGAGGAGAATGGGTTTTAAGCAGAAGAAAGAGCCCCCTTTAAAAAAGCGGAAGGTGGAACCTGCACAAGGTGCATTAGTCAAACTCTTTTATTGAGAAATGGATCATCTATTCAAATAATCTGGCTGGTGGATATTCAAACATCTGATGTTTGTTGTTTGACAATGAATTGCTATCTCATTTTTCAGATTTCTTTACCCTGTTCCTACTTCTCTATTTTCCCTGTATTCTTCTGTGAATTTAGTTTATCCATGCATTAAATTGCAGTTGGAGGTCCAACTAAGTCATTTAAGACTGGAGTTACTTCTGCTGCTAACCCAAGAGGTAGACTTTCATCCTCACCTCTGCCATCTACACCTGAGCGATCCGGTGTTCCAGCATCTCCATTGGGAATTGGAAGTTCCATCAAGGTTCATACAAGCTCTGAAGAAATTACTCCTAATCAGTTTAAAGGTAAACAAAATGCTGGCTCAGAGAAAGGAATCTTATCTGGGAGTGGCAATGCCATAAAGGAGGCAGCTCGATCCAAAGGAAATTTTGGGGCCAAGCCAGTGGACATAGAAAATATGTTGACTTACTTCCTGACGGAGAACAAAACTAATGGGATGACCATTAAAGTATGTTAGCAAAGTCTTGGGAGAATATTTTTATATACTAGATGTTTCCAACTATTAATGCATATTGCTAAATTCATGTTATTTCTCATTGTGCAATAGTCCTTGGAGAAAGCCATCGGGGATTCAGTTCCTGGAGCTGCTAAGAAGATTGAGCCTATCTTAAGAAAGGTTGGTGCTTGGAAGTGTCAATTTCATGTATGTTTAAGGACTGTTTAAGCATTTGACATCCCAACTCTTATTCTTTCTTGTTTGATTTTGGCTATCAGATAGCAATTTGTCAAGCTCCAGGAAGGTATTTCTTGAAATCAGGCGTCGACATGGAGAGTGTGAAAAAACCTTCATTTGACAGTGGAAGGTACTTCTGATTGTGACATGATTATGGAATCTTGGACTTCTTGAGTTTTTTATGTCTTTGCTCATTGGTGATATTGATTGCTTGAGAATCACCAATTATTTTTGTTGTTTGATGGGAAGTACATCCCTCTGCTTTCTCCCCAAAACCAGGGATTGGTGACAAATGTGATATAGCTAACAATAAACATTTTTTAATTGACAATCTCTGGATATTCTGTAATGATTTTTAGTAGAGTGAGATTTATCACCTGCAATCTTTGTTATATACACTTATTTCAAAGCAATGCATGTAGTTTACATTCGCTCTGCTACTTATGATTCTAGGTTCTAACTGAACTGTTACTTGATATCCTGCTACTTTCTAGTAATTCACGGGCCTAACTAACTGCTCACTTGCTGTAAGTTTGATTATAAATTTGTAAGTGTTCTTTTTGTAAGGTACCTAAAACCTAAATAAACTAGCCAGTACATAGACCAACCATTTACTCTATCCAAATGGCTGCTCATGTGTTTTTTTTCTTCTGCATTTGCAGCTCCCCAGAAGAGAATGGGAGGCAGATACTTGCTTCCATGGACAACCACGAGAAGAGGCCTACTCCGGAGCAAGCTTTTCTTGACAATCCTGCCATTGCTTCTGAAGAACATCCCCAGTCTGACTCCAGAATGGACGGAGAAGCAAATGCATCGGAGAAAATCGACATCCTAGGTCTATCATCATCACCTGATTTGTTTGCTGGTGGCAGGAAGGAGTCGGACAACAACAGTGACGGGCGAACGGCCAGTTCTAGTGAGAGTTCTAGTGACAGCGACAGTAGTGATAGCGACAGCGGAAGCAACAAGAGCAAAAGCAGTGATAGTGATAGTGATGCTTCTTCGAGCGGCAAAGAGGCATCTGATGAAGATGTGGATATTATGTCGAGTGACGACAGAGAACTGCCCAGTGATAATAAGTTACAGATGTCTTCATCTCCTGATCAGTGGAGGTCTATGTTGCATAATGGCACGGAAGAAAAGCAAGATGGCGAGGGATCTGATGCAGTCGATATAGACATTGAGGGGGATGGATCTGATGCTGTTGACATCGAGAGAGAATTGGTTGGTGAAGAACATAAGGAAATTCCTTGCAAAGAAGGCGAAATGCTGAGGGAAGATGCGGCCTCAATATTATCTGACCCTGGCATTTTGCAAGATCGTGAAGCGTTCATTGGAAATTTGTTCGATGATGGTAATGGCTTCAGACATGAACAGTCTGATAGCTCCGAGAGGACATCCAAGGGTAAATTAAAGGAAGTACCAGAGAAGAAGCAACAGGTTGGGAAATCTGAATACACAAAAGGACAGAAGTCAGACAGTTTGACTCAAGCTGCTACCAATTCTGGAA